TAACTCAGGGAAAACCTCAGTAAGACTTGTATGACCTAGTCCCAAAGAATTCATCCTAATCTATTTATTTTTTTCACTACACATCCTATTTATGTGTAGTAAAAAAAAAAAAAAAAAAAGACCTACATATCCACTTAGATACATAGACATGGAAAATGAGGCATGAACACCTGTTGCCAGCCTAAAATATAAGGCCATATAATTATATCTTTACTATAAGAAACATTCAAGGCTGGGGCTGGGGAGATAGCTTGGAGGTCTAAGCCCTGGCCTGGTAAGCGCAAGGACCTGAGTTCGAGCCCCAGTACTGCACACTATGCTGGCCTCAGAACCCCAAGCATGCAATGCTGGCCCCAAAACCAAGGGTGGTGGTGCACAGCTGCTGTAATCTCAGAACTGCAGAGGCTGAGACAGGAGGATCACTGCAAGTCTGAACTGTGTACTGAGACCCCATAACAAATGAATAAATAAATAAATATTAAAAAGAAACAAAGTTTTATGGTCCTCTGCCTGAGATCTGATCTATACCTAGAAGTAATCAGACTTTTACTGACTCTACAGGGACCTCTCTCCTGTCAGCACCTCTTCCCCATAGGCTACCTCAACAACCTGCTCCAGCAATACCCTCAAGAAATAAAGGCTACCTCCTGAGTCCACTAGGTCTAGGCCTACCTACCACTGGGCCTCAGATTTACACACTAACTCAGACTCTGAGTCTAGAGAGTCTAGAAAAGGTCAGATTGTCCTAAGATAGTACTTTATTAGTCAACTCCAGACACTAGAAAAAGCCCCAAACATTCCAAATGGGCCCCCCAAAAACCCAACTGATCCATGAAGCAAACTTGCCATACTTTGAAAATTGATATCCACATTAAATTGCCAATCAAAATACCACTGCTGACAGAATTAGAAAAAATAATCCTAAAATTCAGTTGGCAAAAGATACTTAAAATATCAAAAACAATCCTGGGGGGGGCCTGGCCCTAGCTCAGTCCTTTAAGTGGCTGCTTCCACAAAGCTGTCAGCCTCAGGAGTTCGAACCTCACAACTCTCCCGCTGGCCAAAAGTGCCCTGAAGGCATTCGAGGAACAAAAAAAAAATCATTAAAAGGGGCTGGAGAGATGGCTCAGTGGTCTAAGGCACCTACTTAGAACAAG